GGACTACCTTCGTATACAACAAACGCCCATTGGGCTACCTTTATTTATCCCCCACTACCCAGTCAGCTACTGTAGACTTGCACAAGTTCATGCCTGATACTTGGTACACTGCAAATTTTCTTACTCAAAGTCGCAGCTGTGCTCTAAGGAAATTTTCAGAAATATCTATTAATTGTTAGAAGCAAAAGACCACGATCAAACCCAAATAAGTCCTAATGGTGAAAAGCCGGTCAAATTGTTAGCCAACAATTTCTAGTTGTAAATGAAATTATTGACAATATATATATAGCTGACCAATATCTCCTGCTCGGAAGATTTCCAAATCAATAAAAGATGGAGGCCTAGCGAATGATGAATTTATAGAAACATAGGTTTTGATTATAATGCATCAGAATGAATAAATTAATATTGAATAAATTTTTCATACTTCTGTAATTAATTAATATATATATATATTTCTTTATAGAAAGTAAATGGTATTGTATTGTCAGTTGATAATTTTGTACAGATAGAATGCTTTTGAATGTTTTACAGTATTGTATACCGAAGGTAGTCAGTGATTGTTTTCACTCAGTTTTGCTGCCGAATACAGGCGGTTTCCCATAGCTAAAAAGTGCCTTATTTTTCCAAAATGACCAGGAACTGAAGAATATATTCCCAATTTCAATAAAAATAATGCTATATTTTCCCAATTCATAAAGGAACGTGATGTTGTAAAATTTAGGTCACAAAAACACTGGTAGTATTGGAGGCTACACTGATGAACAGCACATAGCTGCATTCTGTTTCTATTTCTGTGTGGGTGGCATGGGTGTATACTGATTTCGGTGAAATCGCCAGTAGAGGAGTTTAACAGAACTTGGTAGACTTATATAGCATGTGTAGACTTTATAGCATGTGTATTTTATGCACAGAGCGGTTACTATATACATAACATATAAATACAGGCTTACTCAGGTAGAGCCGACACTGTCAAGGTCACTGGGGAATGGTCCAGGCTTGTAGAGCACATTTACTGTGTAGGCCGGCCTACAGGTGTAAACAAGCTGTGTGTTTTACCAGGAAAGCATGCAATCTGTGGAGACTTTGAGTAGATTGTGCTTCTGAACTGTGTCCTGGTGTGGACTGTATGTTATGGAGAAGTATTGTACAGAAGTAGGATATTAGCATGGAGAATACTGTAGTTACACAGGTAAAGCCTATGGGGTACCATGTACTACTGCAGACAGGGCTGTTAGTGGTTCCGAATATATTCCTCAAAACACTGCGCGTAGCATGGACAGCTTTTGTGTGGATATGGGTAAGTAGACATACTCTGTGTGTAGAGCTGTACATAGCTAATCTATTTATAATATTGTATTGTAAAGTACAGTATTTCACAATACTGTACATAGGCCGTCTAAAAGCTATATAGAACTTAGAAGCTGTCTAGTTAATTATTAAGTAAATTAAAACTAGGGTTAAACTAATTAGTGGCAAAGAAAAGATATTTTCTGAATTTTCCAAGGAGGCGCTAAGGCATTTATATTTGACTTCTAGTTAAAGCTTTAAAGATAATTAAGGAACTGGATTGAACAACCTTATTCAACTTTTTTGGATTTATGAAACAGTTATATGTGTAGACATTGAAAATTAAAGCAAAGTTTTTCCACATACTACAATTCCATTTGTACTTCCTGTTACTAAGTATAGCACATAAAAAAACCGTCAACAGTTACATCATGCTATCTTTGTTATTTTATAATTTATATATATATATATATATATATATATATAACGTCGTGTCATACTGAGCTGGATTCTATTTTGGAGCTTATTAAGGATCCCTGTGCCACTGTCAAAAAATGTACCAGTAACTATAATGCACTATAACAAAACCATGCTTGCTGAACTTTCATGAAGAAATATTGAAAATAAACAAAAAATATAAAAAAATCAACTATATGTATAATGTTCAGAGTGTGAAAATTCTAAAGGGCCAGAGAACTTCAATATATTTTTTGTCCTGGGGGGGAAAAAATAACTAATATTAGACGAGAGAAAGTTTGACAGAGCAAATTGTCATGCTGATAAATTACATCGAAATAACTCATAGTACATTGCACTTGTAGTAGTACAAAGCCCAATGGAAGTCTCTAACCTGCCATGCATGGTATATGTATAGCTAGCTCAGTTGATGTCCCTTAAGTGTTTGAATTAATTGTACCCCGGCAACCAAGTTATTATACCCCCGCAACCAAGTTATTATACCCCCGCAACCAAGTTATTATACCTCCGCAACCAAGTTATTATACCCCCGCAACTAAGTTATTATACCCCCGTAGTCAAGGGGGAGTATACTGGAATCACCCAGTCTGGATGTCGTCCAATAGAAACTTGTCTGGAGAACTCCTCCTTAACAAACAGATGGATTTCATTGAAATTTTACTTGATTGATCGGTATCTTATGTAGTTGTGTACCGGCGTTTACATTTTGGATTTCAACCCTTTTGATTGAGTTATGCCCCTTTGTGAGAAATATTTGTCCGTGCAACTCCTCCTTAACTAACATGTGGATTTCTTAAAACTTTGCAAGAATGATCGGTATCTTATGTAGTTGTACACCGGCGTTTAAATTTAGGATTTCAACCCTTTTTGATGGAGTTATGCCCAAGGTTATGTGTGATCAAATACTTGTTTATTTTTTTGTTATTTTTGTTTTTTGTTTTTAATAAAATAGTGATTAACTAATTACTGGTGGAAGACTACATTGCTCTGCATTAGTAAGCCTTTAGCTTACAGTTCTGGTTTATATAGGAGCGTGGGTATTAGTTAGCCTTTGGCTTACAGTTCTAGTTATATCAGATAAACACTGTAAGTGTGTTACAGAGCTGAGTTAACTCTGTGTAGGTAGCTATAAAACATACTCCAACAGTTTAATACAAAATCTCCGACAGACCCTACCAAAGTACGTCAGACATACTACAGAACAATGTGGACAAGGCTCAAATCAATAATTAATTATCGGAAAATTGATTGATTGAGGCTCGTGGCAAGATCTGGCTCTCACGACTGTCCGACACTAAACGAATGGTCTTTCACCCTGACCCACATATACAGCAGTTTGGTTAGAAGGCCAGGATATTTTTGACACTATATATATCTGCACGGTTATATAATTAAAATCAATTACAAAACCTTTTTTCCCTTAAATGGCAATTAAAATGAACATTCAGGTAAACTACCATAAAGTTGAAATATTGTACCATTTGGGTCTATTATAAATGCTCAAGTCATTTTCGGCTTAATATTTATATGTAGTCCAAGTAACACACATATTACAGTTAAAAATAAAGGAAATAAAGGAAATAGGAATTCCAGGATTGAACTCACTCAGGAGACCTGCCAATCCAACATTTTACCGATGTAAACTTTTACCGCTAATTAGGAAACTGTGACACACATCATCAAATTGAATCATTAACTCATTCACCCCCGAAATTTCATAATTGACTATTCCAACCTTTGAATTGGAAGATTTCAAATATGTCTTCAGGGGTGAATGATCATGAGTTCATACCTGGTCAAAGGAAATAACTCTAAAAGTAGAAGAGCACCTTTGATGTTGCTTTATAATGATCGATGATAGAGCTGATAGAAAACAGGTCTCTAAAGTTGAAATCTTCACAGCTGTAATTGGTCTGAAACATGCACATTGTAGCCTTTACCTTGAATCATGCACATTTTTGACCAATCTGAGTTTTCAGATTACCTCATTTATTCAATCTTCTTTGGCGGCCCGTTTCTAGATAGCTATCACTATACACGTACCTAACAATGATTGTTGAAAAAATAGATGTGATTGTGGATAAATATCTTAGACTTGCATGAATGCACAATAGTATTAGGCAATCTGTAAATATATAGATTTTAAATTTGTTTATATATATTGGGCCCTTCAGATCCTATTCAATGCTTAATAGATTGTGTATCGTTCCCAAGTGAGTCCTTAAGCCATTGCATATACATGTACCTGGTATATAAAGATAAGATCATAGAATGTTATCACAAAAACTACTGTGAACTGCTTGCCTGTAATTTTAAACAAATCTTTGTGTGCAAGTGATGTTTGTCACAGATGGGGAAATCTTCCTGTTACATTCCTATTACAATACATGATATATATAGCCCTGATGACCTTGACATTGACCGAGATTACATCTGTCTTGTTTACCTCCTTGATACATGTGTGTACAATGTGCACAGATAAGTGTTGTCCTAGACGGCTGGCTGGGGGAGGATTGGTCCGGTTGACAAGTGATATTTAGTCCTATAAGTTACCTATAGCAGAGAAAGGTAGGGGAGGATCGGCTGGTGCGTGGTCAAACTTTGACGATTTTACAGGGTATGTTGACTGTAAACAAAAAAATATTTTCATAACATGTGAATGTGTATCAGTTAACTGTTGATTTTATCTGAAAGCTCTACAAGGAAAATGAAAATGAATGGCGTACAGATTGATGAATACATGTAGGATGTAGAGTAAGGATACCAGAAATGATTTATTTTGTAAACAATGTTTAAATCATTTCCGACACAATTTCCGTCCTCTTTGAATTAGTTCGACTCCAAACTGAAAGATTGGTCATCCCCACATCTGACTCTGGGGGACTAGGAAATCACTGCCCTAGATTTCATCATACACTGTATCCATAAATCTGGCATGAAATCAATGTTGCTCCGACCAAAAACGAGTTATTTATAATTACTTGTGAAAACCAAGAGGATCAAGTATTCAGATGCTGTTCAATGCGAGTAATTAATGGTGTTGGCAACAAAAATACTGGCAGCTCATAGGAATATTTCAACTATACATCTGGTTGGACTGTGATCATGAGCGTGTATTTTAAGATCACGCTATGATGTACATGTGAGGCCAGCTGGTTTGGCTGGAGATCAGTGGAGGTGATGCGTAGATTGTGTTAGCTAATCAACACAAACTTGTATTTTTTGGTTCACAGGAGTACCTGTTCATGACGGAGTCCAACCTTCAGAGGGAATTGGCAGAACTGGAGGCAGAGGCTGCGCTCCAGAAGCAGGATCAACATGCAGCGATGCAGGACGCGCCAGTGATTCAAGTCACAGACATGACGCAGAAACGCCTCCAAATAAACATCAAGGTTGGTGTAGTGTTAGGTGCAAAACAGACTCATGTTGATGTTTTTTTTGTGATGATTATCATAAAACATCTAAAAAATAAGCTTGTCTGAAGTTTGTATAATACACTGTGTGCATTTATACTTTATGCCTCAAACACAGGTACAGTTCATGGACTATGCACATATATATAGTATGGTATTATGGTTGAATACATAACTGAGGATTAGAAAATATTGGTAAATAAATCATTTACAAGGCCTATCCAAGAATTAGAAATTATTGGTAAATAAATCATTTACAAGGCCTATCCAAGGATTAGAAAATATTGGTAAATAAATCATTTACAAGGCCCATCTAAGAATTAGAAAATATTGGTAAATAAATCATTTACAAGGCCTATCTAAGAATAAGAAAATATTGGTAAATAAATCATTTACAAGGCCTATCCAAGGATTAGAAAATATTGGTAAACAAATCATTTACAAGGCCTATCCACGGATTAGAAAATATTGGTAAACAAATCATTTACAAGGCCTATCCAAGGATTAGAAAATATTGGTAAATAAATCATTTACAGGGCCTATTTATTTTGGATAATTGGGTTTTGCCAACATTTTCAAATTAGGAGTTGTATATTCTACCGTGATATATAAACATCAATAACTAAAAACAATTTTTGCCTGGTATTATTGCTGATCAATATGAAAAGTTGTTGCATTGCTGACTTGGTAAACTGAATGTATATATGCATAATTGATTTTGACTCCAAGGGAAACACAATTGTACATGTACTAGGTAGTAACTGTATTATCAATTGTTACCGATACATACTGTATAACACGAAATGTTCATGGGTACTTTCGTGATATCCTATATTATTAAACAGTAGACACGTATATCATTCAAATTTGTTGTATTTATTTTTTGTGGTTCTATAGCAACCACGAAAACCATGAATGTTTATACACAACGAACATTTCATGTTATACAGTATCTGGACATATTATAATGACATCATTTGAATATCTAAGGCTAAGATATTCTTCAGTCTGTTTTGAGTGATGATTTAAAGATGTCTGAATACTTTGATTTCAGAAGTCTGGATCTACAGAGGAGGCAGAGGATGGGGATATTGAAGAGGTTCCTTCCTCGGCTGAGATCCAGGTCGTCCATGAAAAGGAACCACCCAACCTTCACAGCATTCTCAAAAATCGGTCCATGTCGGAATCAAGCGAGTGTGATGGCTATGGTAGTAGCAACAGCAGTGGTAGTCCCACTAGTCCTCGCGACGAACCTTTCGGCCTCCGGAGATCGGTATCCTTCAACGAACGAGTGGACAAGACTACCTTCAAACCCGGGACAGCTGTCACTTCTATGACATCTACTTTGAAGAATAAAAGGAAACGCAACAGGAAGCGTGAGGAGAAACGACAGTTGAGGTTGAGGAACAACAGTGGAGGGTCAGAAGGAAGTAGTGGAGATGATCTTGATCACCGTAGTAGCACTGGCGAGTCACATAGTGAGAACGACGAGGAGGGTGACGAATCTATAGCACCGCCTATCGATGAAAAGATTGAGGAGTTGGAGGAATCTATAGTCCCGCCGAACAGTGAGACAGAGAAATGTAGAGCTCCAGTGGTCAGTTCAATGCCTGAGGAGAAACCCAGTAGGGAAGCACAACTTGTCCAAAACATCAAGGAAAAGTTGTTGAGAGTGGAGGAGGCAGGTGTAAAAGACGAGGATAGTGATGATGACGGAGAGAACATTGAGGGTGGGGTTAGTTCTAGGACTAACACAGAGCAACACAAAGTTGTAGATGTGATAGAACGGGAGGGAGTCAATGATAATCATGAACGGACTAAAAGTGCAGACAACAAGAAAGTTCAGGGTGTATGTGTTCAGGAAGACGTGTTGAGTGTGAGTGGGGATAAGGAACAACAGCAGCAGGCAGCAAATCAGGGGGGACCAACTCATCAGGCAGCTACTAGTCAAAAGGACCCGGCGGATGTGACCATCTCTCCAGGAGATGTGATAACACGGGCAGGTGTCCAGGACCTCCTGGGGACGGAGCAATCTGTGATAAAAGTGACGGGGGAGGAGAGAGGCAGTGGGGACGACTCGGGCGTGGAGAGCAACACAGAGGGAGGTGGGGAGTCCAGTCCAGCCGACAATCAGGTGGAGACAATCCTCAGCTGGAAGGATCCACCCTCCAGTGAACACGCCACAAAGTGCTCATTCGAGTTCTCAAATGCAGTCATGTTTGATCTCGACGTTGACTGATGTTAAAATACAGGGTTCATTATAATGTTACTGTTTACAGTTTCAATGTCTTGCAGTGTTATTTTGGTGTCAAATGGGCATACAATGAAACCCACAGGCCTGTAAACAGTATTGAATGATGTATATGTACAGGGATCAACCGTTTGTAAAAAGTATCTGATCCCAGTTCCCTGATCTATGTTCAAAGGACATGTAAAAAGTATCTGATCCAGTTCCCTGATCTATGTTCAAAGGACATGTGTATATAAAGTCTGTGTTACATGGTTGAGGTTCAGATGTGTTTGAAAAATTTATGAAGCAAAATTTTAACTGGTCTCATATATATATATCCCAAGTCTGATGTTTTTTTGTTGGAATAGAGGATGAAAGTATTGTTAGATTTTTGGTTCTTTGAACTTTTTTGTGTTTACTTTCAGCCTAAATTTAAGGTTTAACTCCAGTATATATTAATTTTATATAAAGAAACCAATTTTGTAGGGCTAAGGTTAATTTTATATTCCATAATTGGTACTTCAAATATTTTTAAATTCCAGAGACATTTGAATATGTAGACATTTTTGTATTGCAGAAATACTTGTGCAGATCTAGAGCTGTGGATAAAAAGAGTACTACATGTATTATCAAGCAGTGTCATTTATAATATTAAACAGTGTCATTTATGTAGTCTTACTGAAAAGTCATAAAATTCAAAATATATTTTGAAATTTCGAATATTTTAGATTCAACTAGATTTTTTGGACTTGCACTGTGCTACCATATTTATAAACTAATGGAGGTTATTTTTTGATATATTTTCTACTATTTTCATAGAATATTTTTCTATTGGTTTTGTTTTAACACCCTAGGGTGTTGTGCTTTCTTTTTGGAAAACAGGCCCCGGTTTCCTTGAGAACCTTTTTTGGGTAATGGTTGGGAGGGTTGCGGATGGAGAACAGAGTTCAAACTGACAGTTTCCCAAATATCAAATTCTGTCACTGATAATATAAGTTATCTGAGTTCCTTACATCAACAAGTTTTCTGTTAACAATATTCGTGATTGCATGTGAAAAAGTTTAATGTTCAGAAAGTTGTTGCTAATACATATTCTACTTATATAGAAATTGAAATTAGAAGAAAAAAATGTGGAGATTCTGAGTGAAAGAATGAAATCCTGAAGTTGATTGTAAGGTATTACAAGTTGATTGTTTGATTTATCTGTAAGATATGTATTTTAATGTAATCCCAAAATCCAAGGAATTAGATTTAAAATCGACATCATACCTATGAGGTTTAATTTGTAAGTCTCTTATAAAGGAATCTATATTATATTCTGTTTCATTGTTTGTTGAGGACTTAAGTCATCTATGATGGTAATGAAAATATAGCCATGTAAAAAGAGGTTTAACATGTGTACATGTACATGTACTTGCATTTAAAATGCAATTTCTGATTACAGTCGAGCCATATAAAAGAAAGCAACCTATAAACCTATAATTATATAACTGTTTATCATACTGCATGGTTCTTCTGTAAGTACCAGACATAGGAACACTGTGTCATGAACATTCAAGCTACTGTTGATCAAGTAGAATGAATATTGGAGTTGGGGGAGTGGGGTGGTGAGTTTGTTTTGTGCGAATGTATAAAAGACCAGTTATCAGAATATTCAGTTGATCTCAATATAAATATACCAAGTGAAGCAATCAGTAATGTGCAATCAGTAGCATTACAACTGTAGCTTCCATATACAGCTTAAAGCTATATGCTACCCTCCCTTCCTAGAGATATTGACCTCTTTTACAAGAGAGTTCCACATGTACACTAAAAGAAAAAAGAGTTGTTTTATGTTTTTTTGTGAATGGTTATTTTGACATAATTAGTTGGTGACATGTACACATGTACCAGAACAGAGACATTGACAACACTCGGAAAATGATTAATTATCGAACCTTATTTAACATTTTAAAGGGAGACAACTTCAACAAAAGAATTTGATAAAAAGTGATAACTCTAACAAAAGTAATGGGTAGAGAAAATAATGTGTAAAGTAGCATTTACCCTTAAGCTTAATATATCTTTCAGTTTCAGTACATATAAAGTGTGTTTGTCATTGTAGCAGTTGTTCAATCGTTGAAAAGATTGATGATGGCTATTGTAACAGTTTAAACGGCAAAGATAAGTAGATAAATGATGTATTATAAAAAGATGTTGTTGTTAGATCAATTTTGGCCCTGTACAATGTATTGTTGTTGGCCAGGAGGAATTTTTGGTTAAATAAGGTACCACTTTTGAAGTGAAGGTGAGTGCACGTGGTTCCCAGAAGAACAGCCATCCTTCCCTGTTATCATGAAATCTCGGATACAAATGTATATAATGAGTATATTAGTACTGTTTTGTTGTAATGGTAATACCCTAGTACCGTACTGTTTAGTGATTGGTCGATATGATCTGTAGTCAGTAGTTGTAACATCCCAATCAGGACCATGAACAGAGTTACGTTTACCTCAATACCTTGACAAGTGTTAACATTTTGCAGCTCATTTGTACCAAGTTTTTGATATTGTTATAAGAAGGATCTTCAATTCATATCAATTTCATTTGAAAATGTATATGTGTATACAAACAGCAACATTTGCATAATAATTTTCAAATGAATTTAAATGGAAATTCATTCATGAAGTGCCCTGTACTGTTATACACTTCCATAAAATACAATTTGTTAAAACATTGGTTTATGTTACACACAACTTCGGGCATGCAGCAACTGTTAGCCTTTGTTAGCCTTTGTTCTATATTCACTGGTCCCCCTTGTAGGAGGGAGCAAACTCATCATAGTGTCAAAATGTGTTGCTTTCTAACAGTTGGTAAGATCCGATAGGAGAGGGCAAATTTAACATTCATGGGAATATAGTTTGGAAAGCAGGTCCGATAGAGGGCAAATTTAACATTCATGGGAATATAGTTTGGAAAGCAGGTCCTATTGGAGAGGGCAAATTTAACATACATGGGAATATAGTTTGAAAAGCAGATCCGACAGGAAAGGGCAAATTTAACATTCATGGTAATATAGTTTGGAAAGCAGGTCCGATTGGAGAGGGCAAATTTAACATACATGGGAATATAGTTTGAAAAGCAGATCCGACAGGAGAGGGCAAATTTAACATTCATGGGAATATAGTTTGAAAAGTGGGTCTGATACGAGAGGGCAGATTTAACATACATGGGAATATAGTTTGAAAAGCAGAATGGAACAACTTCTAGATGAAAATATTGTAGTATGCTACTAACAGTACCTGTAGACACTGTTCAGTTCCATGATGTTATTGAGATGACAAATTAAAATTTGCTGTCAGGGTTCCAAATCAATTTTACCTCAAGGCAGTCACAAAAAAATGTCATAAAATAGAAAGCATGTTGTCTGGTACATTTATTTACCTTGACTCCAATCTCTATGGAGGAAATATTTTGTCAAAATGATGTTTGTTACAATTATTAATATTAATTTAATAATATACTGAAACAATGGCATGCATATGTATCTTGGACAGTCAAGTCTCGTGCAGAACTCGATTCCTTGTCTAATTATAAACTGGACACAAGAACAATCAAGTCTCATAGCAGAACTCGATGCTGTCTAGTAAACTAGATTGAGCAGAAATCCATTTTTCCAAGGCAATTGAAAACGTTATTTGTAAATAAGTATTCATAATTTCACTATTATGCACACAGGGGCCCGATAATTAATAACATTATGTATGTATGGAACTATCCTACTATGAAGTGAATATCACGAGGTGTTTTAGGGGTTTAAACCACACTGAAATACCAACTTCTAATGAGGATGTTTGTAGATTGGCGGTGACATTTTAACCAGTGATGATCTCAATTCCGATAAAATGAAGTCAGGTCTAAATCTGCAACCGTGTTTGATTATCGAGCACCTGTGCGTACTATAAGGTAATCTGCTGTATATTCTGAATGTCACTCAAGAAAAATAACCATTACAGAATAAAAGTTCACTAGTTTAATATTGACAATACCAGCTTAAAGAGCTTAACCAACAACTACCTGTAATCTGAAACCTGAAAAAAGGTATTGTATGATTATATATAAACCAAAAGGGGTGATGCTATATTCGTGTTCTGATGAAATTTGACTGTCCATGGCTACAAAAACTTTTTTTTTATAAATAAGCCTTTTTGTTAAAAATTAAACAGCATGGACGATTCCATTGTCATGTGTTATATTATAGACAACACTAGTGTGTTTCACAGCATTTTGATACAGTTTTGAGATATTTTTATTGGCTTTTAAATTCCCAATATTTGCCCATCAGATCGATGAAATTGTTGATATTATTATCGTACAGTGATTTGTTAAATGCTGTAAAAGCTATTTTTGAAACTGTTAGTGACTTGAGAAGTAAAACTTGAACTTTATCAAAAGAAGTTGTGTTTTTTATCCGATTAACATGCTTACAGATGTGGATACAGCAGAACACATATGAACTCTCCCTCAAAAATAGAAAAGGAAGGTACAGTACTATTTAGAGATTATCCCTTTCACCCCTTTGTTACTTTAGTAGACTCTACCATGCATTGATATGGATGAGTCCATTATGGTCTACAGTGTGAAAGGGTTATAAAGCTGAAATAACCCGAATTCACTTGATTATTCAAGAGTTGCATCCCTTTGGCGGTCTTTATGAGAATTTAGCAAAGGTCATTAGTCCCAAACAAAACATATACATGTACCTACATGGAAAAAAATCCTTCCTGTCTGAGATATGTTATAGTCGAATTGAAGAAACTGGATTTAACTAAATTCATTTTCATTCATGTGCATCCAAGGAAAAGGATCAATGCCAAAAACTGTTTCTTTCCGGCACGACTAGATTCTTAATGTAAAAACTTCGCAGGGCTAGACCGTGATTCGAACCATGGACTTCAGGCTGTTATATCATCGTTCTAATCGACTGATGAGCTAATAAGTCAACGGAAGTGTCCAGGCCCAACTGTGTTACAATCATATCTTAATCGAAAAAACTATATTGCAGTGGGAAAGTAAAATCGTTTGACTTCCTACCTGCGCTCAAAATTTTATGGAATAGGAAACAAAATATTGTATTTGGCCTTCAAGGACATGCTGGAGGCGGTATGTGGTGTGTTTGCCTCTTTGCGATAGCGCTGGTCCGACTTTAGAGCACTACCTCTCTGAAATACACGCAGAAGGCACCCAGCACAGCATTCCATCCGTTCACATTATAATGCCCATGGGTTAACCAGACGTTCCGCTTACCCTATATGCCGAACGTTTTACAGAAACCAGATCTGTCTTGTTGTTGAAGGACTTCGGCATGTGCCCGGCCAGGCGACAGAATCAACAGTCAAGATTTATACTAATAGAATAGGAAAAGGCTATAACTTTACATATTGTCGCCAAGGTTCCATTATACACTTGTCAATCAATCTGAGGGAGATGGACTAGACAGTCATCTCTACAATTTCAAGAATTTCCATTTGAACGGCAAGATTATCATGTATCGTCAAATGAGACGGGGGAAACCCACCATCGGTTGGTCGGTTAAACTAACGCGCCTTGTCCCATCCAGCCCAACTTACGGCCCCGGGATCATCTCCATCTAGTGCAGGGATCGTGTAAGAGTTGCGCCCCTTCAGCCGGATTAACGAGGCATAGACAAAATTATTTTTGAATTGTACATTCAACTAATTTTGACTGTTTTTCTAGAAGATATACAAATGTTTCTATTTTTGATCCGAAATTTAGATTGTATACCTGCATGTGAAGACACTTTTTCAAAAAAGGGGAAAAAAATGTCTATGTACATCAAAACAATCTCGCATCATGACTTGCGGCGTGATAAAATCGTCTTGCCCGATATAGACTCACAAAGCAGATTAATACAGCAAGTCAGTTAAAAGCTCGGTAACTAAATCGATTGTCACTTGACAGACGATCACTTGTTGGAAGGTTTAACCCGTTGGTCATTGTGGTTCGGAACGTTTGCTGCAGTCTAATTGGTTTAGTTGTTCACAGAAGTAATACGTAGAATGGCACGATGCACATTATACAGCACAGAGGTGGTGATCAAGAATTTCTAAGGGTGCACAAGCTATACTTTATACCCCGCATTCTTCCTTCATGTCTAAAGGGATGCCTCATCCTGGAAATTGCAGAGATCGTAATTAGAATTTAGCATAACCCCTGGTGACCCAATAATTATCAAATCTGATCAGGGAATCGAACCCCGTCCATCTTGGTGAAAGGCGAGCGCGCTATCACTGTCATCCAATGTCAGATTGGAAGAACAGCGTGCGTCAAGATGATTTTTCGAGGGTCGAGACCCAACCGTCCCTCCTTGCCATTCTGGTTTCCCCGACTGTCGCTGTAGAATTTGCGGAGTTGTTCCCCCTTATGTACTGGATTGTACTGCAATCAAATGTAGTACGTCGGTCGACTTTTACTGAAATTGTACTGCAATCAAATGTAGTACGTCAGTCTACTTTTACTGATATTGTACTGCAATCAAATGTAGTACGTCAGTCTATTTTTACTGAAATTGTACTGCAATCAAATGTAGTACGTCGGTCGACTTTTACTGAAATTGTACTGCAATCAAATGTAGTACGGCGGTCGACTTTTACTGAAATTTTATTGCAATCAAATGTAGTACGGCGGTCGACTTTTACTTACTCTCTAATTGTGCGAAATTGTTTGCCATTCGGAATGTTTTTGGGTCTTTCCTTCCGATGATATATTAGCACTGTTGAGAGGGGTCAAAGTCAAACGATGTCGTAACGTCAAATTGAAACAGTTACAGAAAGTCTCGAATGGACGGTCGTTGTCTGGCTTTTAAAACCTGGTAGCCAAAGAAACTGAACATGTCAAAGCATAGCTTTTCAATCATTTTCAAATCGCTTCAACATTTGGTTTAAGTTGTACAACACAGCTTAAGGCTGTATGCAACCTTGCCCATTACACCTGTCAATTGTGTGTAAGTTGAGGTTGTATGCTACCGTACACCTTATACCTGTCAATTGTGTGTTAGTTCAGGTTGTATGCTACCTTACACATCATACATGTCAATTGTGTGCTAGTTAAGGCTGTATGCTACCTTAAACGTCATTCATGTCAATTGTGTGCTAGTTAAGGCTGTATGCTACCTTACACATTATATCTGTCAATTGTGTGGTAGTTAAGGCTGTATGCTACCTTACACATTATACCTGTTAATTGTGTGGAAGTTGAGGTTGTATGCTACCTTACACATCATACCTGTCAATTGTGTGCTAGTTAAGGCTGTATGCTACCTTACACATTATACCTGTCAATTGTGTGTTAGTTTAGGTTGTATGCTACCTAACACATTATACCTGTCAATTGTGTGGTAGTTGAGGTTGTATGCTATCTTGGTTGTATGCTACCTTACACATTATACCTATCAATTGTGTGTTAGTTGAGGTTGTATGCTATCTTACACATTATACCTATCAATTGTGTGATAGTTGAGGTTGTATGCTATCTTACACATTATACCTATCAATTGTGTGTTAGTTGAGGTTGTATGCTACCTAACACCTCATACATGTCAAGTGTGTGCTAGTTAAGGCTGAATGCTACCTTACACATCATACCCGTCAATTGTGTGGTAGTTAAGGCTGTATGCTACATTACACATTATGCCTGTCACTTGTGCGGTAGTTAAGGTGGTATGGTACCTTACACATTATACCTGTCAATTGTGTGGTAGTTGAGGTTTTATGCTACCTAACATATTATACCTGTCAATTGTGTGGTAGTTAAGGCTGTATGCTACCTTACACATTATACCTATCAATTTTGTGTTAGTTGAGGTTGTATGCTACCTTACACATTATACCTATCAATTTTGTGTTAGTTGAGGTTGTATGCTACCTTACACATCATACCTGTCAATTGTGTGGTAGTTAAGGCTGTATGCTACCTTACACATTATACCTATCAATTGTGTGTTAGTTGAGGTTGTATGCTACCTTACACATTATACCTATCAATGTTGAGGTTGTATGCTATCTTACACATTATTCCTATCAATTGTGTGTTAGTTGAGGTTGTATGCTACCTTACACATTATACCTATCAATTTTGTGTTAGTTGAGGTTGTATGCTACCTTACACATTATACCTATCAATGTTGAGGTTGTATGCTATCTTACACATTATACCTATCAATTGTGTGTTAGTTGAGGTTGTATGCTACCGTACACCTTATACCTGTCAATTGTGTGGTAGTTAAGGTTGTATGCTACCTTACACATTATGCCTGTCACTTGTGAGGTAGTTAAGGTGGTATGGTACCTTACACATTATACCTGTGAATTGTGTGGTAGTTGAGGTTTTATGCTATCTTTCACATTATACATGTTATACCTGTCAATTGTGTGGTAGTTGAGGCTGTATGCTGCCTTACACATTATACCTGTCAATTGTGTGTTACTTGAGGTTGTATGCTATCTTTCACATTATACCTGTCAATTGTGTGGTAGTTGAGGCTGTATGCTGCCTTACACATTATACCTGTCAATTGTGTGGTAGTTGAGGTTGTATGCTACCTTACACATTATACCTGTCAATTGTGTGGTAGTTAAGGCTGTATGCTACCTTACACATTATGCCTGTCACTTGTGCGGTAGTTAAGGTGGTATGGTACCTTACACTTTATACCTATCAATTGTGTGGTAGTTGAGGTTGTAACAACCTCAACTACCACACAATTGATAGGTATAATGTGTAAGGTAGCATACAACCTCAACTACCTCACAATTGACAGGTATAATGTGTAAGGTAGCATACAACCTCAACTACCTCACAATTGACAGGTATAATGTGTAAGGTAGCATACAACCTCAACTACCACACAATTGACAGGTATAATGTGAGAGATAGCATACAACCTCAACTAACACACAATTGATAGGTATAATGTGTAAGGTAGCATACAACCTCAACTACCACACAACTGAGAGGTATAATGTGTAAGATAGCATACAAACTCAACTCCCACACAATTGACAGGTACCATTTGTAAGGTAGCATACAGCCTAAACTACCACACAAATGGTACCTGTCAATTGTGTGGTAGTTGAGTTTGTATGCTATCTTACACATTATACCTATCAGTTGTGTGGTAGTTGAGGTTGTATGCTACCTTACACATTATACCTAT